AAAAACAGATGTACGACCACGTTTAAATTCGTTGAACCAATATCTCACGGTTGTCATAGATGGTGAAGGGTCCCCATAGACGGCATCCAACTTCGCTTTTATTTCTTCGCATGTTTTTCCATCCAAAAATAAAAAGCGAATTACGGATCGATATTGCACTTTCTCCATTGTATCAAGAAAGACAAAACACGTCTGATGCAACTGGCTGCCAAATAAAAACTAACCTATGAATCAGTCTGAAATTTAGTATGGGGTCGTTTGACAGATGGCAGTACACGACGGTAAAGCCAACTTCCCTCAGCAACGCCACCTGTCTTCAAACACGGGTACTTATTGATCGACCCTCGTAGTGTGTATAAGGAAATCCAAGTATAATGATTAATGAGTAAGAGCAAACTGGACATGATCACAACACTTACCTGCAGAAGCAATGTATTTTCCATCTGGACTGAAGGACAGTGCCTGGATGCCCCCTTTGTGACCTGGCAACACCCTCACCAGCTTGGCATCATTAACAGCCCATAACCGTACCGTCTTGTCAGTGGAACCTGTTGCTAGGTACGAACTGTTCGGGTGAAACTGCACCGCCTGGCAATATGGTATACAGATTAGTTTCATGTGAACACAGTTTGTGTTAGGTGTTTACCACGGCTGTTCAGCATATGATACCTCAACATCCTGGTTATGGCCAGCAAATATTCGTAAGGGGAACGTGCGATCCAGAGACCAAAGGCGGGCTGTTCGGTCATGTGAACCAGTGGCAACATACAGTCCCAATGTACTCACATCTACACACCAGATGGGATAGTTGTGCCCTCTGGAACAAAATATGAAGCTATTACATCAACACATTCCATTGCATTAATCATGGGTAACAGAAAACGCCATTTGCTGCAAACTGGCAATAGAATGCGGGCCATTCTGTCTTTATTTCTATCATTAATTCATTCATTCACCTTATAAGTGGTTGGAAAATTTGAGACAGCACTTTAAATCAAATTACAAACTATTCCATATGCAGATGGTTGTTGTGGAGGAACAGTGAACATTTCAACAAACACGAAGAAACTGACTTACAGACATATTCTGAAATAAAACAGCTTACCTGTAGACAGCAGCGCAAGATAAGTCATCCTTGTTCCAAGCACGCATAGTTGTATCATGAGAAACTGACACCAACAGTCCATCAGGAAACTGTGCAATACCTTGCACAGGCCCACTGTGACCGCGCAGAGAGACTGTGTTGCTCTCAGGCCTACAGCACACAAATACAACAGTTTACTTGTAATCCCTATATTATCACAAGCAGGAGACCTCCATAAGGCATCTCCAAACTTCTGGTTTCTGCATGTGCAGCAGTAAGTATCATGTAGGAGCTTCTACTGAGAGAGGCCACAACAGCATTTCATTTATGGTATTAAGAAACTGTAAGGTAAAGGTACAGCTGTCCTTGTGATCAATTAACTGAGCATAACGCCATGAAGAAGCATGGGGAAGTATACAAGGTGTGGCAATAAAGAAACCGGATTCATGCTCTAACCCTTTATTAAAAAAAATCAGACAGTTGAAATGTTATCCCCTTCAATGTAGTCCCCTCCCCGATCCCTACACCGCTCCATGCGAATTTTCCACTGTTGGAAGCAGTGCTGCAGGTCATCTTGTGTTATGCTCTTCAAGAGTTGCGTCGCTTTTGCTTTCACTGCATCCACGGACTCGAACCTGGTCCCTTTCAGCGCAGACTTGATTTTTGGGAAGAGAAAAAAGTCGCACGGTGCTAGGTCCGGAGAATACGGTGGATGTTCCA